ATTCAAGTCAACTATATGCTAACAACTCACCTAAGAGTGGACCATCACAACTTGAGAGCAAACGCCAAAATTAGGGTTACCTCCAATATACTAATAGATTCTATCAAAGTAATAAGGAACAAAATTAAACACTCCTTCTCTATCAGTTACAGCAGGTAGAATAAAGAATCGACCAACCTACTTTAGTAAATCAATTGATGATTCACCGTTTTAAGATAGAATTAGGTTGCGATAGCTTCAAAAATCATAAACCTAAAGATCCAATAGCCACCACTCTGCGTTGTACAATTTTCTTTTTATCTACTTTAGCTTCAATCTCAAGAGGCGTATGTTTCAACAAAAAATTCAATTTTTAATCCTCCTTCTGCACCTCCATTTATTGAACTCCATTTTATTCGTCATGGATTGATATCAGAGTTGAAATTTTTTACTTGCCCACCCCAGAATAAAATCGTAGTGCCAAGAGACCAGAAGATTGATTTTCAAAGGCATTCTTGTACTGTGAAGTGAAAGAGGCGCAAACTATTGCACGATAGAGGGAATTTCAGAGGAAGTTAGAAAGAGATAAGAACAAAGATAAAAAAAAAAGTATAATTTAAATATTAATTGAAAAATGCAAGAATAAAAAACGTAGTAATAGAATTAGTTTATTCCATGCTGGCTAATTACCGATTCATCTTTAGCGAAAATCAAGGAGAGAGTAGTGATTTTAGAAATGAGAAACTAAATGAAACTCTGCTATGAAAATTGCAGTATCAAGCACCATAAAAATACATACGGTAGACTTAGTGGGCTTGCTAATCATGATGAAAAAGTCCTCTGATTTTCAGAGTGTCACTTTGTGTATGTTTTGTATTAAAAAAGATACAAAAAATTTGTTTTGTGTAATTGGTTGCAATTATTGTCTTTGTTTGAAGATACCTGGGTTTAAATTCTTATGTTGACATTTTTTATAAGGAACAAATAATTAATTATAAAGATAAAAATGCCCTTCCTACTTTCACTCTCGTCGCAGAAAATTTGAAATAAAGAAAAGTAGACAAAACTCTACTATATATTATTGGAGGATTCAAACAAATATAAACTATGTGATGTATAAAATTTGGCCTAATTAAATTAGATAAAATTTGAATTCGAATATTTTGAATAAAGAGTGGACATAATTTTCAAACTACCCAATCCCAAACCTGTTCGATTGTACATATGTGTATATATTTTATCAAGAAATTATTATTATTTTTCTCACCATATTTTATATTTATATATATGGCAAAAAGGCTAGCGTACATCCGGGTGTACGCTAGCCTACCGTACGCCCAATTGAGTTTTGCTATTTAGACAAAGAATTAATCGAAGTTTGGGACATGATACTATACCCTAAACCCTAATGGGTGAATCCCAGTCCCCAATTCACTAACCCAAAGCATGAGATTCGTTTAATCTTAAAAATGAAAATCAACTATCCTGATTCGTCGAAATTTTCATTGATTTTCATTTTAAGATTAAACGAATCTCATAGTTTGGGTTAGAAAATTAGGGACTGGGGTTTACCCATTAGAGGTTAGGATATAGTATCATGCCCTAAACTCCGGTTAATTCATGATCTATATAACAAAACTCAATGACGTACACTAGCCTGAACCTATATATATTTTTTGTGAAACTGTGCTCTCTTTACCTAATTTTATTTGTTTTAGTGATCAATTGTTATACTTTTTACTTATGTAATGTCCGCATACGTGTAGTTAACATGTCTGTTGAAGTTATGAATTTTTATTATTATTCATGGATACTTGAAACCTGTTCGGGTATTAAAATGGTTTTGATTTTCTATCTGATTCTTGTATGGATATGATATGGGTAAAACTCGCACTACATTGGTTAAGATAATGGATATGTACTATCAACTCCAAACCGATCGATTGCCATCCCGCCTTTCCCATGGAGCATAGAAAATAAAAGAATAATTTTACCTTATATTTAACATGATTGCGTTTACTCAAATAAAAGAAGTCATTACTCCCTAGCAGCTTTGTCACAATACCAATAGCCACTTCCCCATTAATCATTAACGAAAGAACAACAACATCCGTCAACAATAAAGAAAATATGATAGCGATGAAAGTCTTCATATTCCATTGATATCTAAATTGTTTTCTTCCTTGTACCCCATTTATTTTTCCCCTTGTGTCGCCATCTATTTACATAATTTAGGTGATGAACATTAAGATGATACCAAATTGAGCAAAGTTTATAAAATTATATGTGAGAAAGTGAAATGATTGGTTTTGAATATTCAAATACTGCTTCTAGAAGAGGTGTGGATCCAAATTAATTTTCAATATAAATTTTTTTAACATAGTGATGGACATCCAATCTTTATTAATGAATAATTTGAGGAGTTGCCACCCCTATTATCCAAATACAACCAATAGTTTCAGGTAACTAGGTGACAAAGAGGTAAATATGTGTTCTACAATGGCTAAAGAATTACCAAGTGAAACAAGAAAATAGGTCACAAAGTTGCCTTCTCTAATGAAACAAAACTCCACCGTAAAGATTCCAGTAATCGATGGAACTCATAAACCAAAACAAAGTGTGGGTGCGTAGGTGGCACCAAAGCACTTAAAATTGGGATTTTACTTAAAATCGAAAATTAGGGTAAAATCGGAATCGTAAAATAGAATCGTAGGATTTTAAATACCATATAGAAATTAACATATAATAATATTAATAAGATAAATAATTAATAACACAAAGACTTATAACGTTTAAAGTGATAATTTTCAAGATTAATGTTCTAAAATCATCATTTTAATTTTTTAATGCGTAACTCAAAATAATTTATGAGGAAAGGATAGAGCTCATGGGGTTGGCTCTTTTTTTCATGTTTTATCTAGGTAGTTTAACTCAAAGTAGTATTCCGACATCGTCTGCAAATTAAGCGTGATTTAAAACTAAGAATAGGTGAACTCCGATAAAATAAATAATGTCATTAGTTTGGTACAAATATATTCATTAATCAAATAATTGATTAATAATGATGTTAATTCTTACGTACTTATAATATTCTGACAATTATTTTACCGATGCATTAGACAAGTAGAAGGGAAATGGGTTGACCGAACCATAATTCGTTTTTTTTTCAAATGTTCTTTTAATAGGAAAAATGTATGAGAAGATCCCCGTCATTGCCCTTTCTACCGAAAAAGTTCTGCTTCTTTTGAATTGGCTCAAGCTCCCTATTTTGTTGTAAGAGGTAGGGGTGGAAATTGGGGTGGGTGTGGTAAACCGCCCCACATTTTGCGGGTAACCACATCCACAATATAGAATTATGCTACCCACAATCCGCCCTGCAGTGGGTAGTGGTTAACCACTACCCACTGCGGTTTGGTGCGGGTTAGTTGTGGATACCCACAAAAATTTTACATTAAAAATACTAATATGGTAATTAAATAGTGAGGTTGTGTTTCTTCTCAAACAAAAACAAAAAACATACATAAAAAAAGTTAATTAAGTGTAAAATAAATTATAAATCTCGAATACAAAAGGTTAGTTAGTGTAAATTCAAAAGAGATGGATTTGGAAAGAGATTTGAAGATAACGAAGAGGCGGAGTGATATGTTATCTGAGTACCATCGTTGAATGTCACGGCTCCTCCGATGACAACAACAGCAAAACACAAAAGTAGCTCGATAAGTGGAGGCGCCCGCTTTTAATGAATCGATTATTCTCCACTCTCGATTAATCGATTATAGTCTTGTATTGTTGGTAGTTGGTTGCATGTTGTGTTGTTCGTGAGTTCTTGGAGAAATGGAGATTATGAGTTTGGGTATCACACTAACCTTTATCGATTATTCTCATCTTTTAACGAATAGATTAATTTATCTGACTGTATCTATGGACTTGGTTTTGTTATAAAATAAACATATACCACACAGACAATGCTTATTTAATAAAAGTATACTACATGCATGAACATTATGTATTGACTTGGTTTTGTTTTATAGAATAAGTGCATATTTGATTTTGGTAGCTACTTTAATTCTTAGTCTTCCAAGTTTAACAAACTAATATAACTAATGAGGTTAATGTGGGTTACAAAGTATTTTGAAAAAATAAATATAACTAATGTGGTTAATGTGGGTTTTGTGGGTAAACCGTTGTGGGTAGTGGTTAACCACTAACCACAAAAATCAATATTTTGATACCCACACTCAACCCACTATCCACAAATTGTGGGTATGGGTATCCACAAAGTGTGCGATTTGGTGCAGTTTGCGGGTTACCCGCAACCCGCAAACCAAACTTCCACCCCTAGTAAGAGGTAGTGAACTTGAGAACTGTAATGCATTCTAGGGCTCATTCTTATCATATGCATTGATGGTTCATCCATTGCAACACCCTATCCCTTCCTCTAGGGCTACTCTCTACCCATGCACGTGCCTCTTGCGATAGAGATTTAACTAGCTAATGCGTGCTTTCGCTTCGTGCCATTACCTAATTAATGAAGAACAAAGAAGTTAGGATAGCATATAGTTAATTGTGGGATTCTATGAACCATAGATATTGTCTATAGAATGGATAATCTATCAATTAAGCACTGATACTACTCAATGGAGTCAAAATCACGTTTAAAAACTTACGATTTTACGCTTTTAGGTCAGCAAAATTCTTTCGTTTCCATATAAAAACTTAAGTGTATAAATCGAACTAAATTGCGCTTTAAAGCTTACGGTTTTACGCTTCTAGTTCACTAAAATGCTTTACGTTTTTACGCTTTTAGTTCACTAAATGAGTATTCTTTTCATGAAATTAGTTATAAAAAGTACTAGCTTTTTAGCCGGCCCGTTGGCTGGTGAGTTTAATTTTATCATTTACATTAATCAATTTATCTATATGTTTAAACTATTTTGAATCTTCTAAATTTTTTACATTTGCATTCATTGTTGAGTATGCGGTGCTTCTATAAATTAAAAATTCTCAATACTTAGCACATTCACTTATTATGCTTCGATTCACTGATCATAAATCATGTCACAAATATATATCAAGTCCCATATAGAATCTTATGTCAAGATTTGTCAATAACGATACTTAATTTTTTTGTCTTATACAATATATGTCATTCAATGAATCTCGAGTTTGGGCGAACTCTCAACCAATGATGTTGCTCAGATGATGACAACTTAGTTAGAATTTTTTTATAAAGGTACTTCAATATTACATAAATTTGGTCATCCCAATTGAAAGTTTACTGTCTTAGTGTAAGATCATATTTGTCTATCAAGACACTCAATTTAATATCTTATACAATATGTACGAATTGTTAATTCCTGAAGTTTAATATAGACTCACCCTCAACTCATGGTCGTTGTGTATATGTTGGTTTAGAATCTCGATCCAAGATACTCACACACTGTCGAGGGTTCTAATCTTAACATGATCCATTGTTGTCTAACTTATCAAATATGCATTTGCTAAAATTTATTTATCTTTGGTGTTTGTTTTGAGATAAAAATTCCATTATTTATACTAATATCTTCATTTTGTTGGTGTAATGCCACATCTATTGTCAATATCTAAGCATGATCTTATACTCTAAGTAAGAAAACGCTATTTGGACCACGAATTAACCGGATTTGTGGGCATGATACTATACCCTAACCCTTGATGAGTGAACCCTAGGTCTTAGTTATCTAAATCATTGAGCTTAACCCCTAAGATTGTGCATGTAATTTGTTGCATAGATTTTAACGAATCATGCCCATTGATTTTTGTTTATAATTAAATTGATCTTAGGTATGAGATTTATAAATTTAAGGCCTAGATTTTAATCTTTAAGGGTTTGAGAATAATACCATATGCAACTCCAGTCAATTCAAGATCTACATATCATTTTCTTACTCAATGTATGTCATAATATACATATATAAATATAAAGAGTTTAATGTATTTTTAAGTGTAATTAACACCTTTATTTGACCGAAATATCTAATTTGTTAAGAAAAATAAGGGGAAGTATGAACAAATGTAAGAGAAAATAAGGTATGGAAGCATGCATTATAAGAGATAAGAAAAGTTGTCTTTCTTTATCGTCTTCATTTGTACAATCAGGTACTATATCATGGCTTCGTCAAGTTTCTATTAAAATGAAAAAAAAAACTTTTGAACCATTTTGCAATTTAATACTTGTTTTCATTGATAGATACAAACATTAGAAAAAGATAGTGTTTCATAACCAAAACATAGAATTATATAGTTGGTTTTTCAAATTCAATTGATTATTAAATGTTGATTATCTAAAAATCCTTCATTATATTTTGTTTTATTGATTCTTAAATGTTGATTATCTAAACTTCCTTCATTATATTTTGTTTTTAAAAATTTTTATTACTTTTATGTGTGTTTAATTTATTTTTTTATCGAAATATAACATATGTTAAGTTCTAATAAAAAGAAAAACAATTAATTGATCAGATTTAATCAAATATATTTTTTGAAGCATTACAATATATGTCACTCTTCAAATATAAGTATACTGTTGCTTCACATATATATTGAAAAATACAATTATTGAATAAAAAAGAAAATATTAAAAGAAGATAGAGATAGCTACATAAATGATCATTAAAATAAAAATAAAATATTAAAAAAAGATAGATATAGCTACATTGATTGATCATTAACTAACTTTTTTGTTTGTAAAAAAAGTGTCCACCATGGCACCTTGTAAAATCTCCAAATGCTTATGTGGCAACAAACTACTTTTGAATTGCTATAATATTATGTATGTATAGATATATATATATATTTTAAAAGTAAATCACCAACAATACGATACATTTGAGATTAGAAGATACATATCAGATACTTGGATGCATTCTCAACTTCAATAGAGTAATCTAATTCACCAGCTAGGCTTTTCCCAAATTCATTAGCATAGAGGGAAAAGTGGCTTATTATTAAAATTCATGTTTACGAACTTATTATTAAGATGCTATAAGTTGTTCTACTTTAGGCATGAATCGCATGTATTTATTAACTTATCTGTGCATTCATATTTTGCATAGCATATGTCCTACTTAATAGATTTTTAGTTATTTTTCAGTATGCGTAAAAACTTACGCTTTGATTCTACGCTTTACGATTTTATCCATTTTCCGCTTCTAGGTAGAATCGCGCTTTTGACTGCATTGATACTAATCAAAGCATAGATGGTTGATCAACCCTCATACTCGCGTAGCATCAATGGGGTATCCCTAGATGATAATTTATTGACAACCTAGGAAATACTATGCACAATGCATATAGTAGCATACAATAAAATTATAAGCATTGATGATACAAGAGCATTTATACTGTAGAAACATCCTAATACAATCAATTTTGACTAACTACATAGAGGAAAAGATAGGTACTACCATTGATGATGACAACATCTTAGCTTCATCTCTACTTTGACTAGGCTATCACTCAAGTAGAGTGTTATAGAGAGTTTCTGTGTTTGTGCAACCTTACTAAGCTAATGAATCATGCCCTATATTTATAGTGGAAGATCTTGGCCTAAAAAGACCTAAACATACTAGGAAAGAGTCTCCTAAACCTAGTAGACTAAGGAAACTTCTTTAACAAGACAAGGGAGAAGCGGCGACATCGAGGCAATTGTACATGTTGCTCTTTTCTTCATGGGCTGGGCTTCCTGGTCCATGGACTTCCTCTCCTGATGATTTGGTTGCAACTTATGATGTTTCACGTAGAGGCGGTTGGGCCAGCTACTTGGGCCGCCGTCTGTTCTTTTATTCTAATGGGTCGAGTCTACTTTTTATGAGCTCGTCTTATGATAATGTAGCAACTTGTAGTTGACTTCCCAGTCATTGGACCTCGTATTTCTAGTGAAAAATCCTTAATCTTCTCTTCATATCTTATTTGGTCTTCCAGAGTTCTTCAATGCTTGATTAAATCATCCTAAGGTTGCTTTGTACCATCAAAACCATCATAAATATACAAAAAAGACATCAAATAGTACAAGAACTTTTTCCCCAATTGAGCTCTCTCTCTCTCTCTCTCTCTCTCTCTCTCCCTCCCTAGGAATCAGCGATTGCGGCGTTCGTCTCCATCGGAGTCGTCTTCATTGATTCTTCGTTGGTTCTTTGCCAATCCTTGTCGATTCATTCTCTCGCCATTGTTGAGCTATCAATCTGCACGTCAGAATGAGTTCGTTGTCGAGCCGTTCGTGGGCGGAGCTCTTCGGTATTGCTGAGAAGAATTGCTAGGTGTATGTGGAACCAGAAATTGTGGACAGGGGGCTTCGTATATCAGCGGAAATCGAGGATGAGGGATTTCTCGATGGAAGCATTGCTTGGTAGGTCAATTTCTCTGGGTGAAGAAAGGAGCGATTAGGGTTTCTTGGTTAGGGGAGCGACTCTTACATTTCCAATTACCAACTGCTGAGACTGCACGCTAGGCCTTCTCAAGCGGTCCTTGGCATATGAGGAGCGATATGTGCTATCTTAGCAAGTGGGAACCAGGTATCCGAGCTGAGCAACCACGGCAGACAATTCCGATCTGGGTTAGATTTCTGGATTTGCCCCTTGAACATGGAATGGGTCGTATTCTTACGCGTTTGGCAAGTATGATTGGCAAACCACTTTGGTTCGACAAATCTACTCGGCTAGACCAAAGATTGGGATATCCTCGTGTTTGTATGGAAATGGGGATTGATTCAGAATTCCAGGATTTCTTGCATCTTGTCCCGGATCGAAGACCGGCGTACAATGTTCATATCGAATTATGCAACAAGCCAGCAATATGTGCCAAATGTTGCAAGTTTGGACATAACTGTGAGGAGATTCAGGATGAGAAGCATGACACAGGGTCGGTTGTCGAGGTGGTTCAAGAGTTATTGCAAGTTGAGAGTGAGGGAATTTAGGAAGTGTCAGAAGTAGTGAGGCAGAATGAAGGGGAACTTGTAATTCAAGAGGGCTTGCTCCCAAATGCTGAAGGGAATAGGACTGAGAAGGAGGGTTGATTCTAAATTCTGTTGCTGAGGGGAACATACCTGAGCATGAGGGATTACAAAGAGCTATGGTTAACCTTGTAACTTCTCTGTCTGAATCTGCTCATTGGAAGGGGTGTCTTCCATCAGAAAAGGAATTTCAGCAATCTGTAACAACCAATGAAATGGTAACTCATGGAAATTCTTTTGATGCTCTCTCTTCTTTAACTCAGCTTGAGGTAGGAGAGTTTGTGGTATCTCCCTTGAGTATCCTATCAATTTCCTCGAGCTGGGCTAGGAAGTTCAACAGAAGAAAAAAGGTAAACCTGGTCGGCCTCCGAAAGGGGCGAAACACCTCACAAAGTCATGAATGTGTTAGTGTGGAATATGAGGGGATTTAATAACCCTGCTAAGCAAGATAATATATTAGAGTCTATTAGTAGATACAAGGTGGAGTTAGTGGCTATACTAGAATCAAGAGTCAGCTCATACAAAGTAGAGAAAATAATAGCAAAAAAGTTTGAAGGGTGGGAACATAAAGAGACCTATTCAACTGTTGGAGTGGGAAGAATATGGGTACTATGGCAAAAAGGGTTAAAGTTCAGTGTAGTAGAGAGCAGTAGTGACTATGTACATGGAGTCCATCAAGAGGGCACTCCAACTCAGTTCACTTTTGTCTATGGTTCTAATGAAGTAGCCGAGAGGAAGCAAGTGTACCAAGAGTTATCTGGAAAAGTGGATTTATCACTTCCATGGATTGTGGCAGGCGATTTCAATGCTATAGTGGATATAAGTGAAGCCTCAAACTCAGGGGGGGCTAGGAGAAAGTGCAGTGAATTTCAAAGATTGGATTGATGCGATGAAACTATTGGATCACAAAGTATTGGGACCATGGTATACCTGGTCTAATAAACACGCTGCAAATCCAATAGACAAGCGTTTGGATCGTGCACTTGTTTCAAAAAGATGGTTAGAGGCTTTTCCAAGAAGTTCAGTGAAGATTCTGTTTCCTGGACTCTCAGACCATTGTGGTCTCTTGATAAGTTTGGATTCAAAGGTTCAAACTTTACCTCGAACTTTCAAATATTTCAACTTTTGGAAATTTCAACCTCAATATGACAGTTTGGTGAAAGAGGGATGGGTTTGCTCTGCAACAGGCTCTGCAATGTCTATATTGTATCAGAAGTTACGCAGTATCAAAGGGAGGCTTAAGGGTCTTAATCGAGATCATTACTCGGATATTCATTCAAAAGTAGTTACAGCTAGGAAAGAACTTACTCAGGCACAACAAGAAGTGTTGGAGCCCCCTGCCTCCTCAACCTACTAGGCTGAGCAGAGGTGTATGGTCCAACTTCTTGAGTAGCAGAACGCAGAGAAATCTTTCCTTAGAAAAAAATCCAAACATCAATGGATTAACAGTGGGGATATAAACTCCAGGTTCTTTCACAGTATGATTGATAACGATGTAATTGCACATGTTTGCGCCCCTAGTTCTTATCCGTTTGAGGGGCATATTCGTGTGTTGTGGCCTATTTTATGCTAGGTTGTGTTCCTTTGTCCCATTTCAGGTCCTAGCACATAAAGTGAAGCATAGGCGCAAGTTTCAAGTCAATCAGAGATCAATTGACGATTCAAGAGAAGAAACTCGGGCATGACCTGAAGAAGAATGGATTTCTACCTCACTTTATGGACAAAGAATCATGCAAGCTTGTTATGAAACGAAAGAGGACGAGACTACGAGCGTCTGGGATCAAACGGCGACTGATTCGGAGTCCGGACGAGGGAGAAACGAAGCATTAAACAGAGGCTGAGCAAGCTGCACGGGCAGACCAGCGTGGCCACGCATGGCCGTGCAAGTGACCAGTTTGGCCGTGCGGGATTGTGCGTGGGCACGCACGGGCACAAGTGAAATCCGCACGGCCGTGCAACATACAATTCTGGCCGTGCGAGTTGGCTGAGGTTCAACTAATTGATACGCCGCGTTTTGAGGTGCACGGCCAGAATGGTGATGTGCACGGCCGTGCACCCTGGCCGTGCGAGTCGGGAATGGCTGTTTTTAACTCAAATTCGAGCCAAAGGAGAGGGAGAGCTGGGTTTTGGATCCCAAACACCCAAGGGACGAACCCTAGAGAGAGAGAGCGACTTGGGAACATTCTTGGAGCTATTTTGGAGGATTTCTTCGCCATTGGAGCTCGGGAATCAAGCTTGGAGATGGAGATTGAAGATCTAGATCAGATTTCTGCAGTCTCTCTCTTCTCTATGGAGTAACTTCCCTTCACTTAGGTTTTGAGGAACCCTAGTTCCATGAGTTAGGATCTTTCTTGTATGAAGTTTTGGATGCTATATTGTTTGATTATAATCGAATGATGCATGTTTATTGAGTCAATTGAAGTCTGATCAACTTTTCCTGATTCCTGCTGCAATCTGAGATAGATAGAATCTGATTAGGTTGCTAGAGTCTCATCATTCGGTAGTAGGAGATCGGCTATACGAGAGTTAGCCAGTTTACTGCTTTGTACTGGAATCCAATTCCAGTAGTGGAGTTCTGTGCTTATTGCTTCAGCTTTCTATCCCGGTGAAGACTAGTCGTCTGCCGGATAGTTAGACTGAGAGGGCTTGGTCAGCTTAAGAGATTCCAAGCTACTGTCGGATCTTCCGCAGTTTAATCAACAGTAAATCAACCAAAATGAATTACAACTTGGACCTAATTGAGGAGTTAGGGGGAATCATACCTAAGTGAGTTCCCAAACTGTAATTAGTAGTTTTATTTAGTTTAGTTAGTAGAGTAGTTTAGTTAATCAATCCTTAATCTAGTTTGCTAGATAATGAACTGAAGCTGAGTAATAGTAACTCTAGAGACCCGTGGATTCGATATTTACTACTTGTGCCACTATACTGCAGTCCCTTTCATTGGTTACACTTGGCCATTGTTAGGTGTTGTGTTTTAGAGCATCAAGTTTTTGGCGCCGTTGCCGGGGACTTTCTAGAGTATTAGGAAAGGCAGAAGTTTGTTACTTTAGCGTTTTTCTTTTCTTTTCTTTTCCACCCTTGCTTTTCACTTGGGTGTTTTTGTTTTTTTTTGTTGGTGCAGATCTGAATCATGGATCCTAATGGCTTCTCCAACCAGTGGGGGTATCCACCACCATCCGGGTGGTATTACCCCGCGACCCCCTACAGCAATCAAGGAGGAGAAGACTATGGATTCGGGTTCCAGTACCAACCCCCTTTCTACGGAGAACAACCAGACCCCTGGGCATATCAAGAACAATCTCCTTATCAAGAAGAATTCCTCCCACAACAAGAAGGGCCATCGGATCTGGAGTTACCCATGGCGGCCTTCACGGGCCATTCTGCAGAGCCATGCTACACTCCACAGCCAGATCCAAACTATGAATTGAGGCTTCTCGTGGAGAAGATTGCTCGAGTACCTGAGAGATCTTTTCCCGAGATGGATCCTCATATCCAGGCCATTGCCCAAACTGACTTTTCCTTCCCCCGTGAAACAGAGGATACCATCCGGAGCATAAAGGAGCACTTGGAGGTCATTGAGAAAGCTTGTTCACAGTTTTCTCAAGACAACCTTTATGCTGCCATACAAGTAGAGGAGGAGGAAGAAAAAGGCAATCATGAGGATGTTGAGGAGCATACAGAAGTTGTCACAGAAAGCTCCCATGATAATCATGATCAAGTGTATCCTCTGGTGGTAGATCATAACTTTCACCATTTCCGCTCTGACATGCTGGGCTCGAGTGAGGAGATGCAAGCTGAACTCATCGAGAACCTTGCATGGAGACTTGCTCTCCAATTCGTGCTGGAAGAAGAAGAGCAAGAAAGGGTGCAGAAAGAAGTTGTGGAGGATGACAAAAGTGAAGCAGAAGGAGTTCTTGATCTTTTCTCAGGGGTGATACCACATGAAGAAGAAAGGGGGGTTGAAAAAGCAATTGGCGTCCAGGCTGAGGATGAAGTTGAGGTGGAAGAGGCATGCACCGGCCATGAGTTGCAAGTAATATCCCCACCAAACTTTGAGGAACTGCTTGGCAAGGACCCATTTGCAGTGTCTCTTTGCCAGACCAAGGCCACATCGACATCGGTCCCTCTTGGTGGACGCGATGGTGGCCAATCGATGCTGTCATATCTGGTTTGGGGCAATGAGACGAGAGAAGAGAAGAAGAGGTCTCTAGGGTGGAGACTTCATCTGCATCAAGTACATGAGCCTTCCTCACCTGCCACACCACATGCTCGTGACTTGAGACTCCACCTCATCGACGAGAACCTCAACTTCAAGGAGGTTCTAGCATGGACCGAAACTTAGGAGCCATCGTCCGGCTCACGACGTGAAAGAAGCGCTTGTTGGGAGGCAACCCAACCAGTCGGTTTGCATTTCTTTCTCTATTTCTCCTCGGTTGAGTCAGTTTTGTTATTTGATTTTAGAGTCAATAACTCAACCTTTGTGAGATTTTGTGTGGTGTTTGTGTTCTGATTACTCTCTCTTTCTGGGATGCACCGCCTGACCCGTTCATCATCATTCACCCTTGATCTGGTAACTTCGTTCTACCCTCCTCATCATCTTTCCTCCATTGAGGACAATGTCGTGCTTAAGTGTGGGGGGGTGTTCGATTATTTATGCGGGTGAATGTTTGGTTGTTTGTGTGCTTGGAGCCTAGTCCACTGTCCAAATTTTGAAATTTGAGGGCTCCAAGTACGTGTTCCTTGCAATTGCCTGCTCAGTATGCTTTGAATTGACAGTCTTTACAGTAATATGCAACCTAGGGAGGTAGTGTAGCACTATGGAGGATGTTGATGCATTTAAGAAGTCTCATTGCTTCTTCATATTGTGTTGGTTGATTGAGTGAATTAGTGATCTTAGGACCCTTGAATTGTGTGGTGTTGTGGATTCTCTACCTGTCATGGACTCTTGTATCATGTTTTGAAAGTAACAGGTGCTCGAAAATGTGCTTCAAATAACGTCTCCCGTGCGAATAGGGCGAAAGTGTGTAAGGGGAGACGGGAATTCGTTCCCAATTTCCACCTACTACCTCCAGCCCCCTTACATGTCTTTCCCCCGCACGAGGCTCGAGACATCCGCTCCTGGCATGGCCGGTAAGAGCAGGTTGGGACCCTTGAAAAAGAAAAGAAAAGAAAAATATCAGAAAACAAGCAAAACAAAAAAAAAAAAAGGGGTCTCAACCATCTTCAAGAAGCAGAAAATAGAGCACCTTGAAAAATGTGAGTCCATGATCTGTTGTTTTTGAGAATCGCTTCATCCACAATTCATTTGCCCTCTGTTCACTATTTGCCGTGACGCCGACTCGCCGAAGAAGTTATGAGATGACTTGTGCGTTGGTTGACCTCGTAAGCTGCTAAATGATCTAGGAAGTCCTCTACCTACGATCTGGGTTGTTTGTTGCTATAGAGGTCTGGAGAGTTGCATTGGTTTGAGTTAGGTTTGCTTGGGGACAAGCAAACGGTTAAGTGTGGGGGAGTTTGATAACGATGTAATTGCACATGTTTGCGCCCCTAGTTCTTATCCGTTTGAGGGGCATATTCGTGTGTTGTGGCCTATTTTATGCTAGGTTGTGTTCCTTTGTCCCATTTCAGGTCCTAGCACATAAAGTGAAGCATAGGCGCAAGTTTCAAGTCAATCAGAGATCAATTGACGATTCAAGAGAAGAAACTCGGGCATGACCTGAAGAAGAATGGATTTCTACCTCACTTTATGGACAAAGAATCATGCAAGCTTGTTATGAAACGAAAGAGGACGAGACTACGAGCGTCTGGGATCAAACGGCGACTGATTCGGAGTCCGGACGAGGGAGAAACGAAGCATTAAACAGAGGCTGAGCAAGCTGCACGGGCAGACCAGCGTGGCCACGCATGGCCGTGCAAGTGACCAGTTTGGCCGTGCGGGATTGTGCGTGGGCACGCACGGGCACAAGTGAAATCCGCACGGCCGTGCAACATACAATTCTGGCCGTGCGAGTTGGCTGAGGTTCAACTAATTGATACGCCGCGTTTTGAGGTGCACGGCCAGAATGGTGATGTGCACGGCCGTGCACCCTGGCCGTGCGAGTCGGGAATGGCTGTTTTTAACTCAAATTCGAGCCAAAGGAGAGGGAGAGCTGGGTTTTGGATCCCAAACACCCAAGGGACGAACCCTAGAGAGAGAGAGCGACTTGGGAACATTCTTGGAGCTATTTTGGAGGATTTCTTCGCCATTGGAGCTCGGGAATCAAGCTTGGAGATGGAGATTGAAGATCTAGATCAGATTTCTGCAGTCTCTCTCTTCTCTATGGAGTAACTTCCCTTCACTTAGGTTTTGAGGAACCCTAGTTCCATGAGTTAGGATCTTTCTTGTATGAAGTTTTGGATGCTATATTGTTTGATTATAATCGAATGATGCATGTTTATTGAGTCAATTGAAGTCTGATCAACTTTTCCTGATTCCTGCTGCAATCTGAGATAGATAGAATCTGATTAGGTTGCTAGAGTCTCATCATTCGGTAGTAGGAGATCGGCTATACGAGAGTTAGCCAGTTTACTGCTTTGTACTGGAATCCAATTCCAGTAGTGGAGTTCTGTGCTTATTGCTTCAGCTTTCTATCCCGGTGAAGACTAGTCGTCTGCCGGATAGTTAGACTGAGAGGGCTTGGTCAGCTTAAGAGATTCCAAGCTACTGTCGGATCTTCCGCAGTTTAATCAACAGTAAATCAACCAAAATGAATTACAACTTGGACCTAATTGAGGAGTTAGGGGGAATCATACCTAAGTGAGTTCCCAAACTGTAATTAGTAGTTTTATTTAGTTTAGTTAGTAGAGTAGTTTAGTTAATCAATCCTTAATCTAGTTTGCTAGATAATGAACTGAAGCTGAGTAATAGTAACTCTAGAGACCCGTGGATTCGATATTTACTACTTGTGCCACTATACTGCAGTCCCTTTCATTGGTTACACTTGGCCATTGTTAGGTGTTGTGTTTTAGAGCATCAATGATCAAAACAAGGCAAGCAACTATCAAGCAATTAATCTCAGAAGATGGTATAGTGTTGGAATATATTGAAGAGATTGGTCTGGAAGTAGTAAGATTCTACAAGAAGCTACTGGGAACACAAGATCCTAATATGAGTAGGGTTATTGTTGAAACTTTAAGGAATCTACTGAAATTACACTTGACAGAATGAGGGGAGGAATTGTGCTCTGAGATCACAAGAGACGAAATTAAGAAAGTAGTAATGGGTATGAAGAAGGGGAAAGCTCCTGGCCTGATGCCTATCCAGCAGAGTTCTTCCAAGGTCACTGGGATTTGGTTGGCGATATCTTTACTAAGGATATTCAAGAGTATTTCCAGTCTGGCAAGATGAGGAGGGAGACAAACTGCACTATACTTGCTCTTTTGCCAAAGGTACCCAATGCAAACTCCATGAGAAACTTTAGACTCATATCTTGTTGTAACTTTATTTACAAGTGCATTTCATAGATTCTTACTAATAGACTTAAACTAGTTCTGCCACATCTGATAAGTCCAAATCAGTTAGCTTTCATTAGAGGAAGACTCATCACTGATAACATTGTTCTTGCACGTGAAATGGTGAAGTGGTATAATAGGAAGAATGTCTCTCCTAGATGTGCCCTTAAGATAGACATCATGAAGGCTTTTGACAGTGTAGATTGTGATTTTTGATCTGTACTATGACTGCAATGGGGATTCCAGAGTGGTTTGTGAATTGGATAAGAGGTAGCTTAGATTCTACAAGCTTCTCAGCCTGCATTAATTAGGGCCTCACAGGAAATTTTTGAGCAAAAAAAGGGTTGAGGCAGAGTTGTCCTCTGTCTCCATACCTATTTGCTATTAGTATGGAGGTGCTTAGCTGTATGTTGAATAGAGCAGCCTCTCGATCTATTTTACCCTACAACCCTCAATGTAGCAGAATTAGCTTAACTCATCTTTGCTTTGCGGATGACTTACTAATATTCACAAAAGTTTATGTGGAAGGAGTTTCAGTGGTTGTAGAGATTCTTCAAAAGTTCTACTTGGTGTTAGGTTGAAGGTGTAACCCAAGTAAAAGTGAAATCTTCAACGCGGGGGTTTCTGCTAATCTGCAAGCTGAATTAGTACAAAGTTCTAGATTCGAGGAAAGCATCTTACCTGTCAGATACTTAGGTCTCCCTTTTAATGCATGGAAACTTTCCTCACTTGAATGCAAATCTTTGGTTGACAAAATAGTTGGGAGGATTATGGGGTGTCAGCCTAAGCTATTAACCTATGCAAGGAAGCTTGAACTGGTTATGTCAGTACTAGCCAGCATGACCGAGTTCTGGATGAATGCCATCCTCTTGCCTGAGAAGGTTATTAAGCAAATTGAAACTCTTTGCTCTCAATTCCTTTGGAGTGATTTTGAAAAGAAGAAGAAAGCTAAAGTCTCCTGGAAACTGGTTGCTTAGCCAAAAATAGAGGGTGGCATGGGGTTCAAGAATCTGTATTCCTGGAATAAGGCTTGTCTGGCTCATCATAACTGGGAAGTTCTTGCTGATCAAGGAATATCGACTTAGAAATCTAAGTATCTGGGATGTGAGTACTAGAGGTTCTTGGGTGTGGAATAAAATACTCAAGTTAAGAGCATTATTCGCAGGGAAAATGTACAAGACATATCAAGGGGTGGAATGGGAAGGAGAGAAGATGCCTAAGTTCCAGATCAGTAGGATATGGCAAAGTATCAGACCTAAAAGTGAAGCTGTGAGCTGGTCTAAACTAGTGTGGAAGAGTGGCATTCCAAAGAATTCAGGAATTACATGGTTGATTATGTTAGGTCGAATAACTACTCTAGATGTAGTGCAGCGTTGGAATCCATAAGTTGATTTGACATATCCTCTCTGTGGACAAGAAACAGAGTCTAGGAGCCACATTTTCTTCTTGTGTAAATATGTGCAGGAAGTCTGGGTTGTGGTTTTCCCAGCATAATGGCCGTTCCCATTTTCTATAACTCTGCAGCAGGCAGTAAATTTAGCCAATCAGAGGTTCAAAAAGTGTTTTGTTGGCAGAATGCTTTGGTGTCTGGTATTGAGTGAGATATGGAGGGAAAGGTGCAGGCGGCTTTATGGAGGTAAGCAATTGACAGTAGTGGAAGTCACAAAGAAGATGCAATGTGTGATGGAAGCTAAAGAAGCAGGTGACCCTAAATTGCAGAGTCTATTTCTAGGCTTTCTTTGTGGCATAAGGTAAATGACTGAAGGTCAAAATGTAAAACATATAGGTGTAGTTGTATAGTAGAAAGCTATGTAGTTGGTTCGTCGAGTTGTAAACTTGTTGCTGATTGTATATGATGAATAAAATCCTGCCCATTCATCGGGAAAAATAGTACAAGAACACATCTTAGGTCTATCAGAAACTCATTAATCAAATAGTTAGGATTTAGAAAAAGAAATGTCATTGAATGACTAAAGATGCATTGATAAAAGGGGAAAATGTATTAAGAATGGGAGTGAAAAACACTATAAATAAAGTGTCATTAAAAATACTCCACACTTGAACTTTGTTTGTCCCCAAACAAACATTATTCATAATCATACAAGTCAATGAACCCTAGCCATCATCACCCAACCACGTTCTTAGGTACTGCACCATACGCAAGTTACAAGGTCGGCAATAGCATGAGAGACTCCTAACCGCATCAATGGACATCACCCCACATAATCCAAGCATCAACAACTAATTATACAACAGTCTCAAAAGGTAAGTGTGAAGCTTTTGATAAACATTTAAGCTTTGAATTAGACATAGCAATCGGGTCGGGTTGGGTAATTTTGGGTCGAAAATATCGGGTTAAGGACCATCACTGGTCGGGTCATCATGGGTCGGTTGATTTCAAGGAAGATATTGACCCAACCCATCGGGTTTCAGATCGGATCTTTGGTCATTTCGGATTATGAGCGTTCTTAGAAAAAATATCAAACATGCTTCATAAATTTTTAAAGCACAAATTTTAACATATGTATGACAATAATTAATCTAGCAAATGTCAATGAACAAATGCTCAAATCCTTCTATGTTAATGAAAAGAAAAATAAATTGCATAAATCGTCAAAAAACAATCACGAAAGTAATACAACTCAAGAAAAAAAGGATGTTTGATTATCCTTACAAAAAAAATCGTATTTCAAATCATTATAAATTTTTTAAACATCTCACCAATTTATAAGTTATTTTATCATTTTGCAATACACAGTTTCGTGACCAACATATAACGGGTTAATTGCAAGGATGGTCATTGAGATTACTAAAAACGTTCATGTTTAGTCACTAAAAATATTTAATTACATTCGTGATCGCTAAAATTAATTAAATGTTTCAAGTTTGGTCACTCTCCGTCCATTTCCGTTAACTTTTGCTTACGTGGCAGTCAACCCTTATAGTTGACCGTTACTTGAGTGATGTGGCCATTAAGAAATTAATGAAAAATAAAATTTAAGATTTTCAAATTTCCACATCATTATTGCACCCTTTAAAAAATGAAAAATATTTTTTTTATAATCCTCGCTGCTACCACTAGAAGCATCCGCCGGGGGAACATCAATCAACAAAAATTAACATTTCCCGGTCAAATCCACACTTGAATCGCCCCGCCGTAGCTGTTCCTCGTCAACAAATTCACGAGGACTTTCTCCTTCGCCAGCTGTTCTCTCTTCGCAATTCACGAGGACATTCTCCGGACACAATCCTGACGAGGCTCGACGGAGTCGCTCTCCTCTTCGTCGCTTGTGCCTCCACAGAGCTTAGCTCTCGCGCTTCGTTATGATAATTTATGGAAGAATGATTGACGGTCAACGTATCCTCGTTGTCTTCTCGGATATTAGCTCGAATTAAGAGGAGATCCAACTCTCGGTAGTACTCTTCGACACTTCTACTTCCTTGATGAAGCGATTGCAAGTTGTCATGAAGTCACTTTGATAATAGGAGGGCACGAATTGTTCTCGCATCAAACTTCTCACCTCCAGCCAAGTAGTAACTGGAGGAAAGCCAATTCTTCATTGTTTGATGCGCACCTGTTCCCACCAAGCGGCGACATAGCCTTCAAACTCGTAAGAAACAAGCATAACCTTATGCTCTTCAGTGTAATTGTGGCAATCAAAGAATATGATCACCTTTCTTTCCTAGTCTAAGTACTCTGATGGATTGAGTCCTCCTTGAAATGAGGGAATGCTAAGTTTAATTCCTCGTAGATCGTCAATGCCCCCTATTTCCGGTGGTCGATGA